ATATATATATATATATATATATATATATATATGAAGTTATTAAGTTATATTTTATTTAATTTTATTTAATTTTCATATTTATATACAATAGATGCTAGGACGAAGTCGAGGAAGAGCAAGAGCTCGTTGGTATAAGCATAGAGGAAAACAATTTTCTTTTGGAAGTTTTTGGAGAAGCGATAGAGGCGAGAAAGGGCCTGAGCACAAAGATTGTCGCAATCGTTTCCGACAGTATCGTAGACGTAAGTCGGTGTCGGAAGTCAACGCACAATGATTGACGTAAACGTATGTCGTATTCATCGCATCGCCTCTGACTCCCCTCTTCGTAATCACATCGATTACTTTTATTGATATTTAGGATTCTATTTCATTTATGGTAAGTGGTATATTTACATTATATATTATCTTTTTCAAATATTTTAATGGTTTAGACATGAATTGTGAATAGATGACAAGATTTTTTCGAAATAATCAATAAACATAACCAAATCTAACTTTAAATTTTCACATTTCTGTAATAAATTGTCACATACTTTTAAAAGCAAATAAAAGATCAGATCTTGCTTGAAATATAATGTGTGTGTACACACACACATATATGTATACAACTGTTATTTATATGTAAATAACCTGCAAATATTACATATTTATGAAATCCAAAACATGCGGACAAAACGAGAAATTCTTGTCTTATTCTGGCTTCTTTCATCTTATTATTACCTGATAAAAAGAAGGAGACCGCATAAAAGGTGGATTAATAGAAGATGGCATACAAGACCAATTAACAAATTAAGGCACCAATTTAGTCATTACAACACTTTTTTCCAGGAATTAAAAAAGGATGAGAGTATGTTCTTTAAATATGTAAGAATGTCTAATGCAAGTTTTGAAAAACTGCTACAACAATTGCAACCTCACCTCATAAAACGAAGTCATAGAACATTGACTCCAGATCAGAGATTACTAATCGGGTTAAGGTAATTTTGTGTAATACTTATTATATATTTTGCAATTTTAGAGCAGTCAAAATTAAACATAAAAGTTGTACATACGTTTATTGTATCATTTGTGACGTAATAATTTTTGACCTTCTGTTACAAAATCCTTTCGATCTAACTTGATCACAATGAAAATGGAATATCGTGCCCTTATTTTTAGAAGAAGAAATAACTTATGTATTTTATGCATATCTCATAACTTTTCTATTGAAAT